ATAGTGAACTTTTTCTTCAATTCTAGGAAGCTCTTTCAGCATTCTTCGGTCCATTTGAAAGGAATATTCTCCCGAGTAAGTTGGTTAAGAGGACAACTATCCTAGAGAATCCTTCTACGAAATTTTGATAATATTATTTATTTATTTATTTAATTTTGCTAGACTATGATGCAATCCCTAATTGTAGACTTCAACGTTGATAATAAAAGTTGTATGTCTCCATGTGGTACACTTTCCAATTTAAAAATTTGCATTTAAACTTTTAGCCTTTCATGTCAGGATCCTTTAGAGGTTGAGGACATTTTTTGTATTAGGACATTTGCCATGACATTTTCTTTGATGTGATGATAGTTGATGGTACAAAATCTTTGACTGTCTACAGCCACCATTTTCTTCTCGCGTTTAATTCTTATTGAGGGAAAGTACTTTAAGCTCTTGTGATCCATAAAAATTTCACGTTTTTTGCTATACAAATAATGCCTCCAAAAATTTAGGGCAAAGATAATGGCCGCCAATTCAAGGTCGTGTGTTGAGTAATTCTTTTCATATGGCTTAAAGCAACGAGATGCATATGGAAAAAATATTTTCATTCGTATGCTACCTAGCCCAGTAGCCCTTTTTTATGCATCATTGTAGATAGTGAACCACACGTTTCGAATTGATAGAATGGGTGTAATAGTGAACTTTTTCTTCAATTCTAGGAAGCTCTTTCAGCATTCTTCAGTCCATTTGAAAGGAATATTCTCCCGAGTAAGTTGGTTAAGAGGACAACTATCCTAGAGAATCCTTCTACGAAACTTTGATAATACATTAATACCTAGCCAATCCTAGAAAACTTACTATTTCAATGACGTACTTTTTTCAGTGTCAGTTCATTACTATCTCAACTTTACTTGGTACTACTGAAATTCTATTTTTTGATATGATATGCCAAAAAGTTTACTTCCTCTAGCCAAAAATAAAATGTTGAAATTTGGCATATAACTTTTCTTCCCTTAACGTTTGTAGCACCACACTTAGGTGCTATTCATGTTCTTCTTTTGGAAGTAGATGAGTATGTAGTCCTTGAATATAATCACAAATCTATCTAAATACTTCTTGAAGATGCGATTCATCAAATTCATGAATGCAGCGTGGATGTTGGTCAATCCAAATGACATCACCAAGAATTCATAATCGTAGAGATAGAAGCAGAAATTGGAATGTCTTCTTTCTTAATCTTCAACACCTAATATCCTTATAGTAGGTCAATTTTTCAGAAAACATATGCTATTTGCAGTGGGATAAATAGGCCATCGATCCTTGAAAGAGTATATTTATTTTTTATGGTTCTCAATAATATATGCAAAGTCACATTAAAATATCTTTCTTTTACAAATAACGCAGTCGCCCAATTTATATCTTGCTTCAACTTAAATCTCTCGCAAGACAAGATCATAGGTTTGAATCTCGAGAAATACGTAAAAAATTCTTGTGAAACAATGTAGACGCAAGCACTTCAAAAGCAGATAGTACGTAAGAATACAACTTGGGCACAAGGCCGAGTCATTAAAAAAGTGTTCGATTGATTTATTGAGAACCTAGTAGTTAATGTTTTTTTATAAGGATTAACTTTAGAGGAAACAATCGGTTGCCTACAATTATTTTTTACGATCGATTAAGGTTGCTCAACAATGTTATTTTAGATGTCGATTATTGGGTTGATTGGCATTTAACTTTGAGTTCATGAGAAATTTTCAATAGTAACTCTATCCACTAGATTTAGATCTCACAAGACAAGATCATAGGTTTGAATATCGAGAAATAAGTAAAAAATTCTTGTGAAACAATGTAGACGCGAGCACTTCAAAAGCAGATAGTACGTAAGAATACAACTTGGGCACAAGGCCGAGTCATTAAAAAAGTGTTCGATTGATTTATTGAGAACCTAGTAGTTAATGTTTTTTTTATAAGGATTAACTTTAGAGGAAACAATCGGTTGCCTACAATTATTTTTTACGATCGATTAAGGTTGCTCAACAATGTTATTGTAGATGTCGATTATTGGGTTGATTGGCATTTAACTTTGAGTTCATGAGAAATTTTCAATAGTAACTCTATCCACTAGATTTAGAAAGATGACTTCAGTCCTTACTGCAAGGCTAACCTCCTCATTCCTAACAAATTTATATTTTTGTTCTTTGTATTCACACAACTTATTTATGGCGCAAAGGCTTTGAAATTCCTAATTATAATCTCCAACTTTCCTCTGATGATGCTTGCAATTAATTATGATATTTCTAATACAATATCTAAGTTTATGGTTCATAAAATCTCCTGTTTCGACCAACATGCCCGTTTTCCCCATAATTTCAATGGTTATCACCCTCATCTAATTCAGAGTCTACTGAGAATGGAATGTATCTTCCCACTAACAATTAAGCACATTGTGTGAAATTACATATAGTGTGATTCAAATAAAATAATTGCAGTAAATCAGTAGCTTCTAGCAGCGTCTTCTGCATCCAACTGGCTTTGTTCTTTACAAAGTGCAAGGACCAAATTGCTCCATCTATACAGTTGAAGTACTAATGAGTTCCTCATTCTCGAAGTAGAAGGACCTACTCGATCCAATTTAGATGTTGGAGGACCCACTTACTCCCGATCAATTGTCGGAAGACTAACTTGCTCATTATAAAAAAGTTTGAGGGCAAAACATGTTAGGACCTACATGCTCAAGGTTCAAATTTGCAGGATCTACTTCCTCGTTTTAGGAAGACGGATGAACAATCTTATTTTGTCCTTGATATGGAGCACCAAAGTGCTTCTTTGGAAAAAATGAGGGTGCATTTGCTCCTTTCTTGAACTTGGAGGCCCGACTTGTTGCTTTTCAAATCTTAGAGTAACTAACTTTCTCCTATTGAAATGTTGAGGACCTACTTTCTTCTTTTAAATTTTCGAGACCCGGATGCTCCTTGTGAATCATTAGATGACCCTCATGGCCCATTCTGCAAATTTGAGGGTTTATCTGTTCTTTCTAAAATGTTGGAGGATCAATCCTTTCTAAAGTTGTTGTGCTAACTTGATCCTAGTTAAAGTTTGAAAAGTAAAGGAGCATATTAGTTTTGTAACATTTTAATAAGAGCAAGTTAGCCCTTCAACGCGTACAAGGTGCATGTTAGTCCTCCAACTTCTACAAAAGTGCAAGTTAGACCTCCAACTTGTAGTAAGAATCAAGTTAACCATCCCAACATTTCAAAAGGAGCAAATTGGTCTTCTAACCTTTTGAATGTAGCAAGTTGATCCTCCAATTTTTCAAATGGAGCAAGTTGGTCCTACCACCTTTTGAGAGGAGTAAATTGGTAAAGAGGCCCAAACCTAGCATGAAGAATAGCCCAAGCCCATTTGTGAGAGTAGTAAAGAGCTCGGCTCGAGCTCAGCATGATGGGTGGCACCGGTTCTATTGTGAATCTGAAGAAAGTAATGCTATTTAGTGCTATCTGTGCACTTTTATTTAGCAGATATTTGGTAGTGATTATGAAAATTGATTTTTTTGACCGTTAGAAAAAAAGTGGTTCCCACCTGTGAGAAAAAAAAGTAAAAAATGACACTGAAATAGTGAAATAACTGTTAAAAAAATAATTTTTTGGGATGAAAAATTCTACTAAATGGGGGCTTAGTCTAGTTATTATGAAAAAGGAAGAAGTATTTAAATAGAGAAATCTATTGTTAATTTTGTTTTATTTGATGAAAATGTCAGGACTAATCTAAAATTTGTGAAAAATAAAGAGTGCTTTAAATGAACTAAAAATTATCATCATTGTTGCCTAGTTTGACGATATTTCTTATATAGTATAAAATTCGTGCAAAAAGGGAGATGAAAAAATTCGATAACACTTTTAAATAGAAAATGGTATATTAAAAAAAAAACCAAAAATAAGTTAGCAGTCATTGACTATTTTTTCAAATTTTATTATTTTTTTTTTTTTTAGCAAAAGGAGGACAGTGCAAAAAACAAATAAATAATAATAATAAAAACACAAAGTAACTATCATTTCCGAAGAAAAATATGAGAAATGAATTAATCCTCGCAAAAAAGCCGACACCTCTATGTAAGTATTATGCCCTTGGTCCAATCGACTTTGAATATAAACACTTTGAATATATAATTGATGCGATTTATAGCAGATCTATTAATTAATTAATATTGAATTGAATTAAATAATGAAGTCAGTAAATTCAAATCTTAATAATTTGTTAATCACAAAGAGTTGTGATTATGAAATACAAACTGCATATGATTGAATCTTAAATCATCCGTGATCGTAAGTAATAACAAGATACGGATATCGTTATTATGGATAGATCATCACGTGCGACATTTCTTACTTGTGAAGTAAGTAGCTGATTTCACAAGTTAAAGTGTGGTGACATTTGAATGAATACGTTAATGTTTTGTTATAGAACAAAACATTGGAGACTCGCCGAGAGATTCCACATGGATAACTATCTGAGTGTCAGTGGTTAATCTCTAACTTTCGGTAGTGGGATTTGTCCTTTGACTTAAGGTTGTCATAGTGCATTATATGAGGATAGTCATACTTTGACGGTGTTGAATGTTGCTCTGCCAATGATCGCTAACATAGCATCGTTCGGGTATGTCAAGAATTGTATGAAGGTTGTGAATGATCAATAGAGGATTTGTTACTCTTAGATATTAAGAGATTATAATCTGCATTTCATTCAATTAAGTCGATAACGAAATCCTTGATCAAGGTGTACTCATAAGTCGAAAATGAGTTTTTGATTTTTATTGACTTAATAGTGGAGTAAAAGATATGATCGATAATCGAGATT